GATATCTTAAATAGAAGAGGGAAACAAATAAAATTATGATTATTATTAGGGCAGCCAGTCTGCCATACAGCCAATCAGTAGCCAGGGCAAAGAGGTAATCAGGGCTCAGTTGTCTTATTTTGTGTCTCCAGACAAAGGGTGCTGCACAAACAGGTAACAGGCACTTCCTTGCACAACATCCAACAAAGAATTTACATAGGATTAAGAAGGGATTTGTTCACTATAAGTCACCAACAAGCTTCTGATCAGTGTATACATCTGTAGAAAAGTGAAGAGGTTTTAACACCCCTAGTTTATTGAACTATCAACACAACTCTCATTTCTTCTGAACATGTGAACTGAATCTATGCTAGAATTCTAACCAAATACTGAAAGTCAGATTCCTAGAACAAGCTGAAGTGCCTCAATTATCTTGAGAAAAGATAATCTGGTATTTCCCATCCTGATGCCAATAAGATCATTTCGCAAACTTCACACCTACTGTTTTGCACACAGTGTGCTGTAATATCGTAAATGCTTCAGTGGCAGTTTTCTGGAAGCATTAAAAGTTATGCAACAGTTGTGCCTTGTCAACATGTTTTTGTCAAAGGCTGAACAACATATTTTCTAACATTTAGTCTTAAATTTAAGAAGGAAAGCAAGAGCTTGGTGTGTTTCAATGTTACCTAAAAGTTACAAATTATGAAATGCAGAAAACTGTCCAAGACATAGTTCTAGACTCAAACAATATAATAAATCAGTATACGTAACTTGCTTCATGCTCTCCAAATCAAACACACCAGATATTTTTGGAATCCTCCTCAGATGCAGTTAGTTACATTAAAAATCATTGACAACATCTACTGCAGAACACAATGTATTTTCTTAAACTGTACACAGATGTGTAATAGTTATTCCAATCACATAGTACACAAAATATATTCTATGAAACTGAGAATATAACATCAAAACAACGTCAAAATTCTATCAGATATTTATATTATCTGTTCACCTTTCTGAATCCCAACCTGATAACTGCTAGTGTCAGCATGCATGGAAATATTCTTAATGTTCCAATAGCTATACATTATTTATAACAATCTCATACAAGAAAACACACATGCTGAAGCTGCAGTGAATAAGTACATGTTTATTAGGAGACTTTTTAAGCACAGATGCAATGCAAGACCTTAGATATAATGTATTTTAAAATAAAACTTAATTTTTCTATTGTTAGCTATTATAAGCAGTCTAGATCAGATAAAAAAGTACTTTTGGGGAAACTGTTACACAATAAAGTCTTATGAGAGAATCTACCCACCATTTCATATTTCTACTTGAAACGAAATGATTTTTACTGATCATCCAATTGGCCTTATCAAAACATACAAAATAAACACAACATACAGTACACGTCTCATCCGAGTTTTAAAAAAACAAATATACAAGCACAGAGAGAAAAAGTGGGGTGGCCAACTTGTTACCAAACATAACTTAATCTTAAGTATATACATCAAAGGTTCTTGTCCCCCTTACACTGTATACCAATCTAATCATTACAATCTCCTTTTAGATGCTTTATAAAGAGCAACTTTTGTTGTTAAAACAGGATTATAACCAGCTAGTAACAATGTTGTTTTGGCCGCTGCATCCCAGCTCGTTTTATTACAAATGAAAGGCTATAAATGTTGTTTCCTTTCTTTTTTGTACAGAAAGTAATTATGTAATATGCGGTTCAGATTTTCAACTTTGGCTACGGGGGCGCTGTAGGGTGGGATAACACATTCCTAATCAGAAGTAGCTCCCACTATTTGTTATGGGTTGAACTCTCAGAAAGTGGCATCGGATTACAGCCAGTTTGTTTGCTTCAAATAATGTACTCTGAACAACCAAGAGCAATAAACTTCCTTGATGATAAGAATGTTTCAACAAAAATAATTTACACACACCAGTTTCTCCCGCCCTTTTTTCAACTTCAATACAGATGACTGACAAGGTCTTTAGAAATATACCATGTAGACCATGTTCTACACAGAATCTCTGCATCAAATGCTTAGTAGGCAAGAGGTAAAATAACATGTAATCACTTGCCTTGAATAATCCCTCATTTTTCCTAATCTTTATAAGCAATCTAGATTGCTGTTACTAATCCAAGTGGTGACTGATCTTTAGTTGTCTCTAATGAAGTGTACAGAAACGGCCCTGCACATGTACAGACTATATTTCCCTTAATAACTTTCCTAGGATTAGGGGATAACATTTCCATATGAGAAAAGTAAATCTTGTAGGTGCATTTCCATATTACTTTTTTGTGTGTGACAAAACTCATATATTTTGTTTCTCCCAACAAAATTTATACGTGAATCATACCAACCTGGATTTATTTTGGAGGGGGAACCCATAAAAGTTTTTAGATGCCTCCAAATCTATTCCAAATATCAACACTCGGGGGGACGGAGGAGTACATCTGAGGGGTTCACTCCCAAGTAAGTGTGTACTTATTCCATAACTACCTGATTTCTTTTTGTGTGAGGGAGGGTCCCACTAAATGTTTTGTTGTTTCTAAATTTATTCTAACTACTAAAACCTAACAGGAAATGTTACTAAATCAGAGGGGTTTAGTTCCAAGTAAATGTATACAAACAAGATTGATGCCCACCTGGATTTTTTTGAGGGGCTGGGGGTTTGGAGTTATACGGGAGGCTTGAAAATACCAAGGCCTACTAAATCAGAGGGGTTTACTCCTAAATAAGTATGTACAAGACCCATAAATACTTGAATATATTGGAGGGAGGAATCCCATTATTACAACTGCTTCCAAAGATATTCTAGAAACCAAGACCTTGGGCCCCTACTCAATCAGAGGGGCCTACTTCCAAGTAAAAGTATATAGATTTTATTCGGGAGGGGGACCCCCCCAGATTAGCCATATCTAAACATATTACATACCAAGACATGATGAGGGGGGAAATCTCACTAGATCGGAGTGTCTTGCAACCAAGGGCCTTCCAGGCGCTATATCCCATGATCTGATGCCAGATTTTCTGCTTATCCCAGATTATCGGGCAGTGCAGACTCATACAATCCAGTTTAAAGCAGAAAACCTGAGATCAGATCCTGGTGTATAGGGCCTTACTGGAAGGGCCCCAAGTCAGAATCCATGTCTGAATATGTCTATTTCAGAATATTTATACGATGATTATGTCTTTTTAGCCTAGACATTGGTATTTTGAATTTATGTTTTATGATTATTTTAATTTGTCTGTAGGGTTTCCCTTTCTGGCAATTGCATGTTTTGCCTTATATGTTGGAAACAACCCTGAGACCTCTTGGGGAGGTGGTATATAAATATACACCTAGCTCAACAGGCATATGCCTGGCTCCACAGCAGTACATGTGAAAAAGATCTTGAGTCCCCCCAGGGGTGCGAAAGTCGGTATATAAATACTGTAAATAAATAAATAAATAAATAACAAGTAAAACAAGGGCCAACAATGACCTGCAGTGGCCAAAATCAAAGAAAACCAACGGGATTTAGACTATAGTGTCTAGATCCAGGGAAATCATGCTACCCCTCTAATCTCTTGGTCAGAGCACACCTGGAATACTGTGTCCAATTCTGGGCACCATAATTGAAGGGAGATGTTGACAAGCTGGAATGTGTCCAGAGGAGGGCGACTAAAATGATCAAGACTCTGGAAAACAAGCCCTATGAGGAGTGGCTTAAAGAGCTGGGCATGTTTAGCCTGAAGAAGAGAAGGCTGAGAGGAGACATGATGTCCATGTGAGGGGAAGTCATAGGGAGGAGGGAGCAAGCTTGTTTTCTGCTGCCCTGGAGACTAGGACGCGGAACAATGTCTTCAAACTATAAGAAAGGAGATTCCACCTGAACATTAGGAAGAAAACCCCACCATATTTGCTTTGAATTGGGATATCTGAGTCCACACTGACATATATTTCACTTCAAACTACAAGAAAGGAGATTCCATCTGAACATTAGGAAGAACTTCCTAACTGTGAGAGCTGTTCAGCAGTGGAACTCTCTGCCCCGGAGTGTGGTGGAGGCTCCTTCTTTGGAGGCTTTTCAACAGAGGCTGGATGGCCATCTGTCAGGGGTGCTTGGAATGTGATTTTCCTGCTTCCTGGCAGGGGGTTGGACTGGATGGCCCATGAGGTCTTTTCCAAATCTAGAATTCTATATCTTTTTTAGCTTTGGCATAACCCACATTGTGAAATATTATTAATATTCTAGATACCAAGGCCTTGGGGAAAATCCCCTAAATATTCAGTTTATATGGGAGTTGTATACAGTTACTTAGGGTGGTGCAGTGGGTTAAAGCACTGAGCTGCTGAGCTTGTTGATCGAAAGGTCGCAGGTTCGATTCCGGGGAGCGGCGTGAGCTTCTGCTGTCAGCCATAGCTTCTGCCAACCTAGCAGTTCGAAAACATGCAAATGTGAGTAGATCAATAGGTACCGCTCTGGCGGGAAGGTAACGGCGCTCCATGCAGTCATGCCGGCCACATGACCTTGGAGGTGTCTTCGGACAACGCTGGCTCTTCGGCTTAGAAATGGAGATGAGCACCACACCCCAGAGTCAGACATGACTGGACTTAATGTCAGGGGACTACCTTTACTTTATACAGTTGCTTGGGGGTTTAACCCAGGCGTGGGCCAGCTTCGACCCTCCAGGTGTTTTGGACTTCAACTCCCACAATTCCTAACAGCCTGAAGTCCAAAACACCTGGAGGGTCGAAGCTGGCCCACGCCTGGGTTAAACCCCAAGTAACTGTATACAAATCCCATATAAACTGAATATTTGTTTCTCCCTGAGGGAGAAAATCTTAATAAATTATGAGTGGTCTCCAAACTTATTCCAAATGGTTAAAAAATACAATCAAACTTTGGAAAACATGGCAACCCTTGTGAGGATTCCTCTCAGCCTTCAGGCCTCCAACGAACCGCCCTTGAGCCGAACCCGGGCCTTTCCCCTCCTCCTCCTCCTCCTCCTCCTCCTCCTCACCTGAGCGACGGGGGCTGCGACGACTTGCGGCTGTTGCCGTTGCCTCACGGGCGCCCCGGAGCGGCACCCTCGGCCTGGCGGGGCTTGGCAGGCCCTCCGCAGCAGGAGGGAAGGCCAGCGGCCTCGTTGCGCGGCGATGGCCACAGCTGCCATGGGCCCTGCCAAACCCACGAATTCCCTCAGCCTCCCGCAACCCCAAACTGAGGTGAAACAGCCAACGCTAGAAGACCTCTAGAGCCGGCTGGCGTGGGCGGGGCAAGACGCGGCCAATCAGAAACCAGGCCCCTTCGCAAGGCATGCTGGGAACTGTAGTCCTCTCCTTCTCCCTTAAGTTCTGACCTCTTTGATCTCCATTCACGAATGGCGTAGTAGGGAATATCCACGCAGAATGCTTCCTTGCATAGAAATCAGGGCTGCTTTCCTAGAGCGCAGTCTTTCCTAGGGCCCTTCCACAAAATCCCACATTATCTGTTTTGAATTGGGATATATGTCAGTGTGCAGAACACATCATGCGATGTGCGGGGCTTGATGAATGAAAAGCTGGGGTGAAAATTGCTGGAAGAAACATTAACAACCTCAGATGTGCAGATGACACCACTCTGATGGCCGAAAGCGAGGAGGAGCTGAGGAGCCTTTTAATCAAGGTGAAAGAAGAAAGTGCAAAAGCTGGGCTGCAGCTAAACATAAAAAAAACCAAGATTATGGCAACAAAGATCCGCATAGTTAAAGCAATGCTATTCCCCATAGTCACCTACGGATGTGAGAGCTGGACCTTAGGGAAGGCTGAGCGAAGGAAGATCAATGATTTTGAACTGTGGTGTTGGAGGAAAGTTCTGAGAGTGCCTTGGACCGCGAGAAGATCCAACCAGTCCATCCTCCAGGAAATAAGGCCCGACTGCTCATTGGAGGGAAGGATACTAGAGACAAAGTTGAAGTACTTTGGCCACATCATGAGGAGACAGCAAAGCCTAGAGAAGACAATGATGCTGGGGAAAGTGGAAGGCAAAAGGAAGAGGGGCCGACCAAGGGCAAGATGGATGGATGGCATCCTTGAAGTGACTGGACTGACCTTGAAGGAGCTGGGGGTGGTGACGGCCGACAGGGAGCTCTGGCGTGGGCTGGTCCATGAGGTCACGAAGAGTCAGAGACGACTGAACGAATGAACAACAACAACAAACCATCTACTTGAAGGGACTTGGGCGGTTAACAAAATACAGTGAAGTGTCACATAAAGACAATACATACATCTAAAACGATAAAAACATAGAATTACAATCACACACATAATTACAAAGTAAAACATTAAAATTCATAAAATGCAGTCATAGCTGCAAATAAAAACAAATGGTTGCAATTGACAACTTGGAATCAACGTGCCACAACTGCGCAGTGCTTCTGGGTGCCTCTATACTGTGGAATTAATGCAGTTTGACACCACTTTGGCCCCTTCCACACAGCTGTATAAAATCCACATTGAGCTGGATTATATGGCAGTTTGGACTCGGATAACCCAGTTCAAAGCAGATATTGTGGATTTTATGCCTTAACATTCTGGGTTATATGGTTGTGTAGAAGGGCCCAGAGTTGGTCCAAAGCAAACCATGGTTGCTTGAGGAAGATTACCAGTGAAGAAAGGGCCTCAGTCCATTCTGAATCCAAGGCGTTCATAACATTGAGCCCTGGCAGTTAAAAGTGGGGTGAAGCTGCTTTAATTCTACAGTGTAGATTCACCCACTGTGTAACCCCAAATGGTTACAGTTCTCCAGACAACTCAGAAACCTATGTGCACCCATAGCCTTGACATGTAGTGATTACTAGGTAGATCTTATTTAGATATCATTTTTAGAAGGTCTTGTTTAGGTATCAAGACCAAAGTGTAGCACATGATGTTTCTCTTATAATAGAGTTCAGCACTTCAGCCCAGAGCAAACAAAACTGGTTGTAAAATGGAATTATGTTTGGAATTTCTGTTTGTTCTATTTCCAAATTGTTCAGGGCCAAACTAGACATGATACTAATCTGCACACTCTGAAATGTAAAACGTTGCTGCAGGGAAACCAAAGCAGTTTCTCATCCTTGCCTATCTGAAGGTTGTGCTGATGTAGTATAAAGGCTAATCTTACTGAGGTTTTTTTTATCAAAGCAGAAAAAGACAAGTGGTTCAAATTGCAGTAGAACAGGTTTGCATGAAACACAGGGGAAAGTTCTTGTAAGCACAATAGGCAAAGGCATCATAAAACCCTGGCAATGATTTAAAGAAATGGATTCAGCTTAGTTTATGCTACGGAAGCTAAAATGATTTTTGCTGATTTTCAATTTAGTTATTATTATTATATATATATTATTTGTATTAAGCTGGGATTCAAGTCATCTTGAGCTTTAATTTTGGGGCAAATATGGGATATTTATTTATTTCAGACCCTTTCCACACTGCTGAATAAAATCCCACATTTTCTACTTTGAATCATAGAATCAAAGAGTTAGAAGAGACCTCATGGGCCATCCAGTCCAACCCCCTGCCAAGAAGCAGGAAAATTGCATTCAAAGCACCCCTGACAGATGGCCATCCAGCCTCTGTTTAAAAGCTTCCAAAGAAGGAGCCTCCACCACACTCCGAGGCAGAGAGTTCCACTGCTGAATGGCTCTCACAGTCAGGAAGTTCTTCCTCATGTTCAGATGGAATCTCCTTTCTTGTAGTTTGAAGTGGAATATATGTCAGTGTGGACTCGGATATCCCAATTCAAAGCAAATATGATGGGATTTTCTGCCTTGATATTCTGGGTTATATGGCTGTGTGGAAGAGCCCTCCGTGGTTTCCAGCCCTTTTTTTGACCAGGGACCACTTTGACCAGGGACCACGTGATCAGGGACCACTCAAAAGGGTTACGAATCAGTTTTTGGTCAACTTTGGATTCGGTTTGGTTATTTGGGGTTCTGATTCAGAAAATTGTATTGGATAGACCACATCAGCTCTAGTTTCTGATACAGAACATATGCCATCCAGTAGTATTGGATAGACCACATCCAGTATTGGATAGACCACATCAGCTCTAGTTTCTGATATAGAACATATGCCATCCAGTAGTCGCCATCTGCTTGCCCACAGAAAACCATATTTAATAATCTAATATAATATAATTAATATAATAATTTAATATAATATAATTAATATAATAAATATAATATAATTAATATAATAATTTAATAATTTAATAATATAATTAATATAATAATTTAATAATAGTCCCCCCTGAGTCCCCCCCGGGGTGAGAAGGGCGGGGTATAAGTAAATGAAATAAATAAATAAATAAATAAATAAATCTAGAGCCGTGGTCTCATGCCCACAGATTGGGAACCATTGATTTATTTAGAATATTTAGACCTAACCCTTGAGCCAAAACAGCTCTCAGAGCAGTTTGAAAATGCTTAATTTACATTTTTTTTTTAAAAAAAGATACCAAACAGAAGGGAAAAAAGGGAAAGGACAAACTCCATATAATGCTGGCTGCTTTTCTCTCCCTTTGCGGCCACAGCAGGGGATGTATCTACACAAATCTGTAAAATAGGTTAAACAAGGCATGGTCAAACTTTGGTCCTCCCAGTGTTTTGGACTTCAATGTCCACAATTCCTAACAGCCCATCAGCTGTTAGAAATGTTGGGAGTTGAAGTCCGAAATGCCTGGGCTAAACCTATTCAGGCTGCAGATAAGGGCCCTACCACACAGCCCTATACCCTAGAATAGCAAGGCAGAAAATCCCACAATTTCTGAGTGAGAACTCTGATAACCCAGTTCATTCCAGAGGCTACCGCTTCCCAAGCCTGGAGCATCAAGTCCGGCCAGTCAAAGACGATGGTCACCTTTTGCCAGGTCTCTTTGGTCAAAGGGCAGTCTCTGATGACATGCTCAGTGGTCTCCCCAGGCTCCCTTTCAGGAACACAGACATGTTTCTGGCACAGAAGTCTGAGACAAACTTATTCTTCTTCTTTCAGCCATGGTTGGTTGCCCTTCAAATAGTATATTTTATGGTTCAAACCTCCATTGAATGTCCCACAGACCAAAGGGGATCTTCTGATTCATGAAACATTCTATTTTTTTCTGTTATTTCTTTTAAATAATTATTCTTTTTGGCATTTTTTTCCCCAACTGTGGCCGAAAGAAAACCGCGCCCACCATCTCCCAGTAGACAGGCTATTTCATGTTCTTAATAACCCCTCTCTCAGCACGGAACCACTCCAGCAATACTTTATTTTGTTGGATCTATCCATAGACCTCTATTAGGAAACTGGGCCCAGCGTGCTTCATGGCAGTTGTCACCCGGAAGGGCACTGGCTCCTCCCTCCACCAGTTCTCAGCCCAGCTCTCGCTGACCCTGTGCTTTGCGAAAAAGACAAGCCACCCCTCCATGACATCCAGTTGGTGAACCCCCTGGACACATTTTCCAAAATGTTGGTTGAGAAAAATAGCCAAAAACTTCAGCCATAAATCTGGTAAATCGAGACCTCCTTGAGTCATCTTCCTATATAGCTCACCGCCCTGGCCAGAGGAAAATTGGCCATTCCACAGAGAAACCGGAAGTCTGGTTTCTCCACTTTCTTTAAGACCTTCTGGGGGAGGGAGGGTAGATCACAGCCAAATTCAAGGCCGGGGGCAGAATGTAAGTCTTCACATACACCGCCTTTTGGTAAACATTTAGTCGCCATGGTTTCCATCTATCAAAATATTCTTTGATCTTTTTTAACCAAAGATGCCATTTTTCTTCAAATCCAGAAGGTTTAATTGAAAACAATAAACCTAAAATTTTACACTCTTCTAAAGTGGCACAGCGGGGTAATTGCTGAGCTGCTGAGCTTGTTGACTGAAAGGTCACAGGTTCGAATCTGGGGAGCAACGCGAGCTTCCGCTATCAGCTCCAGCTTCTGCCAACCTAGCAGTTCGAAAACATGCAAATGTGAGCGGGAAGGTAACACCGCTCCATGCAGTCATGCCAGCCACATGACCTTGGAGGTGTCTACGGACAACACTGGTTCTTCGGCTAAGAAGTGGAGATGAGCACAACACCCCAGAGTTGGACACAACTGGACTTAATGTCAGGGGAAAACCTTTACCTTACTAATGTCTCTAGCATTTGGTTTTATTGTCCTATTTGTTTATTTGCTGCTGTTATCACCTGCACTGGAGATAACCACAAGGTTCCTTTTTCCCTAG